GTTGAAATGGCAGTGTTGAAATGGCAAGTTTTTATACATAAGAAATTGCATGTTCATTTTACATAATTGCGGGCTTTTGGTTGACATTGCGGAGGATAAATGACATGGTTGAAATGGCAGTGTTGAAATGGCAAGTTTTTATATATAAGAAATTGCACGTTCATTTGACATAATTGCGGGCTTTTGGTTGAAATTGCGGAGAGGAAATGGCAGGGTTGAAATGGCAGTGTTGAAATGGCAAGTTCTTATATATAAGAAATTGCATGTTCATTTTACATAATTGCGGGCTTTTGGTTGAAATTGCGGAGAGGAAATGACATGGTTAAAATGGCAGTGTTGAAATGGCAAGTTTTTATATAAGAAATTACATGTTCATTTTACCTTATTGCGGGCTTTTGGTTAAAATTGCGGACAGGAAATGCGGGGTTGAAATGGCAGTGTTGAAATGGCAGGATTGCAATGGCAGGAAAGGAATTGCAAGGTTGAAATGGAAGAGTAATTAATTGCAGAGTTAAAATGGCAGAGTGGAAAGAGCAATGGTGTGGAAATTGCAGAGTGGAAATGGCAGCGTTGAAATGGCAAATTGGAAATGATAGCCTGGAAAAAGTGGAAATGGCAGTGGTGTGGAAATGGCAGGAAGAAAATGTTGAAATGCCAGTAATATGCCAGTGAAGAAAAGATAATCAAGTCTTACATTTGGATTGATATCTTTTAAACTATGCACGGTCAGTTCAGATGTCCATAGCACAGTTGCAAACAAAGTAGAACATTTACAAAAAAATGTTTATGTATACGGTGGCATAAATACGCTAGCAATTAAATCTCAATTAACATGAAAACCTATGTAGGTTTCTGCGATGATGATTAAGGGTTTTAACATTAATGTATCATAAAACATAAAAAAAAAACATAAAAAAAGCTAATTAGTAATTATTACTTATACAAGACAACTTTCCTTCCTGAATATATATACATGTAAAATAGAATTTCGTGAAACCAGATATAAATTTCTTGATATCTTGCTACAATTTATTTTATATATAGATATCAGACTGCAAAAATAAGTTATGGGGTATTCCGAAAGTTGCAAGATGTTGCTTCATAAAAAGACATACAATTATCATTTCCGCGAGAGAAAAAAAGTCGATTTACTTCTCATTCTCCTTATGTATGTTTGCCAATGTAAATACTTGCAAGTTAGAATATTTGTCCGCGAAAGTGTTTTCATGAAAACAAAAATTATTAAGTGGCCTTGCAACTGTATATCTTTGCCGCATAAAAAGGCTAACGTTATAGCGTAACTGCACATTGCACTGGCTGTAATATTCTGTAAATTGGAAGCTTTGTACTTTTTCTATATATGACAGTTTATACCAAACTATTATACCATTGGATAACAGACGTTACCTTTTTTAGCAACAGACATTTGAATCCCCTTGAAACTTGACACTCGGCCTTAATAGCTTAAAAAAGTGCAGCCTCTTTTAAACCCACTTAAAATTTAAAGCCTTTTTTGTACGGTGTAAAATAGGTTATTTTTCGTTTACAATGAATAAATCTCCCATAACGGGTGTCATTTGTCAAAACGTTCTCCCGACTTCAACCTGTAGAATACAGTATGAAGCGACATATGGTAAATAATGTATGTATAAACAAAGGTATTTTGAAAGTTTCAATTCAAAAAGGCCGCGTTTTCTGATTGAATGGTTTCGAATTTTCCGTTGAAGCAGATGAACCAGCTGGTTGGTCAGACGTAAAAAGTCTAGGTATTCCGAAGATACGTGAGGTGATAGTATATTAAATTAGGTATAAAAGGCAGTTAATATGATGTAGATTTGGGTATTTTTTGTCATTTATGGGCAACAGAGGGTGACTTTATCAGACCCATCTATTTTCATATGTCAGTAGATAAAATTCTCTCTACAGGTGAATTAAAAATGCGGAGACGATTCAACCAATCCTATTTGTCGAGTCCGGCGCGTGCTTGCCACGCGCTAGAGAAATTGAGGCAATTATTAAACAATTTTATATATTTTACATACAAGATACGTGCATACGTATAACATATGTTATGTATATTAACTAGGTAACATGTGGGGAGAAAACGACAGCTGTTTAACTATTCAAATTCAAACTTCTTCGTTTACAATGTGAATTTTAAAAAAGTTGAAAAACACTTTAAAAATGAATAAAGTAGTACATTGTAATTTCAAATATATATAATAAATATTTTGTTTACTTTTTTATTCATAAATGGAAAAATGGGTCAATTTTCGACTTAATACCATTATTTGCAGAAAGGGGCGCAATATAATAAAACCACCGACCTCATCACCGCACGGTCAGCAAAATTGTAAGAGCGCTGGACAATGAATCGGGCGATCCAGGTTCGATCCCGGACGGTTTCGTTGTACATTGTAATTGATTATGAAATTCTTTATGTGGTCATTTGCATTGTAGATCTGCTCTGGCATGTACAGAAGTAACTAGCGGACCTTTGCGAAAGTGAAGGCATCTAGTACTGGTAAACTGCTTTACATCTTGTCCAGGAACGGGGATGGCAACAGTAGCTGAACTGTGCTCTGTTTAATTCATTGTGACACTTAATAATCTGGTTCATCGTCACGTTAGGCAAGTGTTAGATAAAAAATTGTTATTATTACACATTTACGAAGTACTGTACCTAAATACAGAGTGTTCATTTTGAAATCTCAGTATAAAGTATTCAGAATTATATATTTTATGGATGAAAATAGTGTAAAATAAAACCATAATAAGATATGAAAGAAAATAAAACTAGTTCACTTTTTTTGTTGAATTAAGAACTAAATGCTTTATTTAGAACCGAGATTTTATCGGGTCCATGGTGGTACATAATATACTCAATTATTGTGTCAATATAATCAATGTACATTAACAAGATATAACTTCAACAAGTGGTAACAACATACTTTGATATAGCTTACTAAGATTACTAAGATTACTAAAACGATATTCATTGACATGTCATGAAAATTCCCATTCAAAAACAATTACTTTATCATTAACATTAAGTAAAACGTAGCCATAACTGGGGACTACCGAGTGAATATAATTTATATCTGATAACGTATAATTTGTATTTATTTTCCTTAAATGATCAAAAATAAATTTAAAAATGGACACAAATAGATTCTTATGCCGTTTTTAAGTGTTGCAATGTTTGACCAGCTTTTATCTGGAGAACGCTGTGTGTCCATGTGTCTGTATGTTTACAATATTACACGTTTAAGTGTTGTACAGCTTCTACAATACCCAAAAAATCAACAAATTTTCTGGATGAGTTTGTATATTACTATCTACAAAATAAGAAAGGTTGTGATATTTACAAACACACTTTGAAGTATTCACCGAAAAAATATTATGTTGCAAGTTTGCAGCATCTCATTCACAAAAAGTGGATATTTCGAGTTGTTCTTTTTACTAAATGTTCGCATTGCAATTTCGTTTGCAAAATGCAATAACAACTAGTATAATGGCAGTTGTATATGTCTAATGCACCATCTAGTTGTATCATGCCATAACGCCGATGAATAGAGTCAATTTCCACTAGAAACCCAGCCCTGTGGCGACATAGAGGTGACAAATAGCCCCTTAATACCCCCTCCCCACCACTAGCTAGTAGGGAATACTTAGTTTTTAGTTTAGTTTGATTAGTGATAAACTATAAAAACAAATGTTTTATTGTAAAAGCTGAGAATCAATTTCATTTGCATAGATATTGGACATGTACTAAACTCATAACTCGACGAACTGTAAGGTTTTATATAAGCGCTTGTTCTTAACGCAAAATACATGTACGCGAAAATTCGTCCTACGCAAACCAAAATGATGTCACAGTATTTCCCTCTATTTTGGCGCAATAACAAGGTAGGACAGGACAGATAGGGGATATGATAGGTAGTTCCATAATTACATGAACAGGAGGGGCCGTGGATGTCTATGAGGATATCGAACCATGGGAAACAAATATAATCATGGTGCACATAGGGAACCATGCAGAACACAGGGAGCCAAGGTAAACAAGGGGAACCATTTAAAAATATAGGGAACTATGTGAAACATAGGAAACCATGGGAAACCAATGCGGAAACAAACGGACCCATAGAAAACATAAGGAACCGTGTGGAAACAAGGGGAACCGTAGAGAACATAGGGAACCATAGGGTAAAGAACCACGAGGAAACAAAAGAAACGTTGGGAAACATGGGAAACGTAGGGTATCCTGCGGAAAATAGGGGACAATGAGAAAAACATAGGGATGCATGAGAAAACAGGAAATCATCGGGAAACGAATGAAACCATGCGGAAACATAGTAATCATAAGAAGTCAAGAGGATATATGGTAAAAAAATAGGAAGAAAATTGACCGAAAGAAATAATTTTTGATTTAAGACACAAATTTATTGAATGAATTTTTAAAAGGTGTTAATGGATAATATAGGCACAAATTTTGTTGATCTTTAGAATAATTTTAAATGAAATGAATTCTGAATAACTATATCAAACAAAAATATAGGATTTTATACAAACACATCGTAATCAATGTAAAATAATATTTTTTTCGATTTATTAGATATCAAATAACAAAGCTCTTATGTTGCTTATCTATCCTACATAATCCAATAAAGTTAACCAACGTAAAACTGTCTCTCTAAATAACGTGTTGATGAAGTGGTTCGGATCACCTGCTATCACAATATTTCATCTCAATTTACTTTTCACGCAATGAAAGAGGGGAACACTTCAGATTTACCTTATATTTCAGTTTCCGCTTATGATTTTAGCGCCTTCGAAAAACTTTAATGTCTTTATTCATCACATACGCTTACCCTGTTTTGGTATATTATAATTTAAAACATCAAAGGCGTCTTTGTCTGCCTACAAGGCACGCGACTAAATTACTGGTCCATGAAAAACAAAAATGATAGAAAAAAATGTATATATTAGGTACAGCTGATACACTCTTGTTCAAAAGCGCCCGACAGCACGAGAGGTGAAAGATGGTTAAATTTCGATTATTTGTTTTGCTTACTGTTATGTATAGTTGTGTATAATAAATATCATTTTAATCAAGAATGGATCATGGCAAGAGAAAAGCTAAAGCTAAGGTAAGTCAGCGACATTTTCTTACAAAATTTTGTTTAAACAAAAATACATAAATGATTTAGTTTAATGCATCTTAGAAGAACAGATTGTTGTTAAATGATATATTGTGTTTGATGTATCAACCGACCACTGATAATTATGTAATTTTGGTGGTGGTGGTGGTAGGTTTAAAATAGAAATGAGGTGATGATGATGGTGATGATGATGATAATGATGGTGGATGGAGTGATGATGACGACGTCGATGATGATGATGATGTTGATGGTGGATGGAGTGATGATGATGACGACGACGATGATGATGATGATGATGTTGATAATGATGATAATGATGGTGGATGGAGTGATGATTATGATGATGATGATGGTGATGATAATGGTGGTGGTGGTGATGATGATGATGGTAATGATGATGATTAACAACAATGCCCAAAGTTATAGAAAGACAATTTCATTGTAAATGAATCAAAGATGAAACTTTATATTTCAACTCTGCTTTTTAAACATTCATTCAATGCGTAATTTTTCTTAATAAAATTAGTTTTATTGAACAAAGCTTTTTCGTTTTTTTGTTTGTTTTGTTTTCCTTCAAAATACAAGATAGTATTTCTTACATTTGAGAATTTGGGTGATTTACCAGTGACCATTGTCCAAGTTAATGTACTAATATAAAGTCCTAGCAAAATGGCAATTTAGATGTTTAAAAAGTATTAAAGAAATAATTTAAAAATCTGTTAAATGTACTAATATAAAGTTGACGGTGAAAGCTAGAGATTGGTACATTCCACTGACTGGCCTTTATTACTTATTTAGTAGTGATGAATAAAGTGTACTTCTTTGACCTCTACAACCCCGTTTTGTTGAAGTTTTACTTTCATTGTGAGAAGTTCACATTAAACAGGCAGAGCCAACCATGGTAGAATACCATCCGAGACTGTGGGTATCGTTTGATGCCGATTAAGCGACGTTTTAATAAAACATATGAGTCGCGTCATGACAAAGCCAACATAGTGCGTTTGCGACCGGCATGGATCCAGACCAGCCTGCGCATCCGCGCAGGCTGGTCTGGATCCATGCTGGTCGCAAACCCATTATGTTGGTTTTGTCGTGACGCGGCTCATATAATATACAGGCTTTAATTATTTTTACATTTTTCTGCTTCAGGTTGACAAACCACTCGCAGAGAGAAAAAGACGTGCACGAATAAACGATGCTCTTCTGCAGCTCAAATCAATAGTCTTACAAAGTATTAACAATGAGGTGAGTTGTGCACGTATATCTCGTGTTCATTTTTCTATCTTATGCAGTATGCATATGAAAAGAAAAACACTTTCAGTCAGTTTGAACATACCTCCATGTACAACTGTAGATCACTTTGGGTATATCTGTAATAAGCGACTACCTATCTACAAAGACCTAAGTAGTAACAGCAGTGCTAAGCCTGTTCTTTTTGTCCGCCGCTAACTCGTTTTATATCAAGTATTTCATAAAAATGAAAAGAAAAGTATCCCGCAAGATATATTCACTCTCTCAATAGACACCTTTTATGACTTAATCTGGTCCGCTACTTTATTATGTAATGTTAATAATTCGTACCAGTTAAATTTACGAAGGCTTATCGTAAATAAGTATACAGAATGAGCAGCCGAAAATAAGATTTTTTCTTTCTGCATGTACATTACTTTTAACATGTTTATTGCAACTATGTTATCTTAAGTTCTAAACTACATGTTCTTTACCTTCAGTCCACAATGATGTCAAAATTGGAGAAAGCAGATATTCTAGAAATGACCGTGGAATACATACATAAGATGCAACACTTCCAGAGCACATCTCCCGCCAATTCTCAGTTAATGCCTGGTAACAATGCCATCGTCTTTGATGGTTTACAGTATACATCAGGGTTCAATGAGTGCACCTCGCACGTGGCTGAATGCATGCGTGCTTTACCTGATACTGATGTTCCAGACGACAGTATCAAAACGAGGCTATTGGAACATCTCGTGAGTGTTGCGTCAACTGACGATTTCCGTAATAAAAGTAAACGGCAAGATATAGATCCCGGTATAAATGAACGTAATGAAAACGTCGAGGTCAATTCCATAAGTACAAATGAAATGTGTAATGTTGACACTAATACGTATGCTTACTCAAACGCAATGTTACAGAACAATGTGTGTAACATGGAACATAGTCTGAATACCAAAAATGTTACCGAAACATCTTGTACCGGATACCTCGCTCCGCAAAGTGAAATTCTGAACTCAGTTACTGACGGAGATGCTTCATACACAGTGTTGGGAAATGTTGTAAATAACAATAAAAATTATCATTATCCTATGTATACAGCGTTGCATGATGGATTATTCAGTATTCATGGAGAGGCCAACAAAGTGCATGAAAGTTTGCCAAACGAGGGGGACAATCCAGCTTTTATACTTTGGCCGATTGTTCAAAGAACTGAAAACGAAGCCGTAGGGGCGCTAAATGTTCAAGAATCAAAGGAGGAAAATGACATATATACAAATATGAAACGTATTACAAAGTGCGCTATCTAATACTGGAGGTAGTGAAATTCCCTGTGTAATGGATAGTAGAGTATCATATGTTCCATTCAATGAAAACCAAGCAAAATCGACGCTTCAAACTCAATTATCTCATGAGCGATTTGATAACAGCGATGCTAAAATTATTCAAATAAGTGAAAGACATTCAACAGATGGTCGGGGTTTACATTCACCCATGCAGGATATCGAAAACACGGACATGAATCATGAACCGAACGAAAATGGTACAAATGCCAAACGTGTTGATGGTTTGGTTAATACGGTCAAAGATTCTTCAATAATGAACATTCCAAAGAAAAGAAGGGTTCTCGGAGATTTTACAAATATTGGCTCTCACAAAACGACAATAAACACATTTAAAGAACTAAAAAGTGGAAAAAGTTTAAAACAACAACAAGGTAAATCGCCTAAGAAATCTAAAAAGACGTCACCTGTAAAAGAATCCGGAAGAATACCAAAACCAATCAAAAAACGGATAACTGCATCAGTATTTGAACGTGAAAATATATCTCGCGATACCGAATATTTAAACAAAAATGCAAATCGACTTTCAGTTCACACAGAAGATCAAAACGTCTCTTACATCGGTACATCAAATAAAATAAAAGAACACCGAGAACTTCGATCGTCAGGTGATTGCAGTCACGAAGTTAACCAGTCAGATCCAAACAATCAAGTCCATTTTGACGGTTTTAATGTTTTCAGGTCTGGCGATAATCAATCTGAAAGTCATCGTCATGCAGAGCGAGAAAACATGAACAATTTGTACTCAAGGAACGCAAAAAAAACTTCCATTTTTTGATACTTTCCCCAAAGATTTAAATTTAGGGTAAACATCAAAATAGACTCTCCCCCCAAAATAATTCCAGGAATTTTTTCCCACAAATAAAATTTTTTAACAACGACTTTTTACCAAATTTTTTTCGCTAAAAAATAGCCCCAAAAACCTCTGGAGCCCCCCCTGGAAAATGTGTACTTATCTTTGTTTCCAATATTTTCCCTGGTTTAAAAAAAATACAATGTTTTTTGTATAAAGTTAGAACGCAAAAATTTTGGCCCATTAAAAGGGTTAGCCAGTAAACCATTAAAATTTTATTTTAAAAACCCTTTTTTAAAAGGGAAGAAAAAAAAAAATTTTTATTGTGTAACCCATGTTGTTTTCATTTTTTTTATTTTTGTGTTTTTTTAAATTTTTCAAAAAAACAAATTTAATTTTTATAAAATTAAATACCAAAGATTTAAAGTAAAAACCGAAAAATGTACATTTGATTTTCAAAAAAGGCAAAAATTACAACATTGGGGGTTGGGGGCCTTTTAAAATTATACTAGTAAAATTATTTCTTTTTAAAATAACTTTAACTTCATAAATAGTTACAAAACCCCCAATTTTTCCTGGTACTTCTCATTCCTAACGGAACAAAATTTAATGTAAAGGGGCTTTTTTCGGAAACTTTTCCACTCCCCCTTTCCATATATCCCCCGACTGCGTTGATACAGCTTAGCAAGGGGGGGGGCAGGATTTACGGGCGGGTTTGAGCCTATATCGTTTCTATCCCCAATAAACGGGGTATGCTAATCAAATTGACTTTTCCGGGTCTTTCATCCAGGGCTCTTTTTCCCTTTGCGCCAGCCCAAAAAACCCGGGTTTCCCCCATACGAACTTTTTCCCCTTTAGCACAATTTTTCACCCTTTTATTGGGGAAATTTTTAAAATAATTTTTGTCATTTAATGAGCGAAATTTTATTTAAAAAATTACCCTTTTATGAAATAATTATTAAACATATACAAAAACAGTGCATTTTTTTGTTTTTCCAAATAAACCACGAGCCCAAATTTAATCAAATGTGAAAAAAATTTAAAAAACCCTATAATTTTCCCTTTTATTTGCCCTCTCCGTCTGTCGTTCTTTTTTAAAGAAAAAAAAACAAAACAAAAAAAATAATGTTCATAAAAATGAATGTTCTTTCAAATTTTGAAAAAAGGGAAAACAAAGGTGACATTTTCAAAAAAAATTAAAGAAATCAAAAATTAAACCAAATATAAAAAGGAAAGATCGCCCAAGGCAGGGTTTTAAACTTCCCAGAACATACTGCATACCCCTTTAAAATATTTCACCAAACAAGACCACCCGGAAAAGGGCCCCCGGGGGTCATCGTAGGGGTTTGTTTGATCAATCTTTTTGTACAAATAAAAAAATGGGATTTTCCTTTTGAATTTAAAACCCCGCCGGGGTTGAAGGCGAATTTTATTAATCATTTTTTCCCTTTTCCTTTAAAGTGTAGTCTGTATGTAAATTTAAAACAGGTAGCCCCCCAGTCAGGGTAAAAAAGGGACATTAATTATTTTTTCCATAGGGGTGAGGATTCCGGGCAGGCAAAATGCCCCCAGATAAATTTGGTTATTTAAAAAAAAAACCCAAACCAAAAAAAAACGGGAAGTTTTAAATTGGATTTTTGCAAAAAAAAATGGCCCCTCCTTAGCAAACGGGGCCAAAAAAACCCCAAACCCCTATTTTTACCTGTGGTCTTTTTGGGGACGTTTAAAAAAATTTTATCTGGGTTATTCATTTTTCCCGGGATATTTTTGTCATTTGCATGGGAAAAAGGGAAAAAGGGATTGGAGTAAGCGTAAAATTTTTCCTTTAAAGCCCCCCCTTTTAAAAAAGAAACGTAATTTTTTTAAAAACCGTTATCATCATGTTTTTAAAAAAGCTAAAAACCCTTTAAAATGTTTGATTTTCACTTATTAATTTGCATATGTTTAAATCCCCCTAAAAAATTTTTAACAAAATTCTTATAAAAAAAAAAAAAAGGCTTTAAAAGTTTTTAAATTCTTGCAAAATGGTCTTTCATTCAAAATGCCAAATTTTTAAATCAGCATATTTAACCCTATTAGATTTTTAAAAAGGTTAGAGAAAAAAAAGGAACATCCTAAATTATACATATAAATGTAATACTTTTTTAAATTTTGAAAAAATTAATATTTAAAATAATTAAAAAAAACCAGAAACTATATTTTCATTAAAACATACAACCTCAAAACCCCCGGTAATCCCCCATGAAATTATACATACTTTTCTTTGAACAAAAACAGCAGGGCCCAGTTATTTAAATGCCCTTTTGGAAATCATCTACTTTTTACACCAAAAAAATAATTTTCAATTGAAAAGGGGGTATCTTTTGGACAGGGGGTGACCGGGGCCATCATCAGATTACACGTCCTTTTTCTTTTTTAAGGGAAAGGGGAAAAGGAATAAACGTAAGTTTTCCAGGAATAAATCAAAATTTTCATTCTATATTTTTTTTGATCAGAAAAAAAGGGGGAATCACTTTAAGATGACCAGGGATCGTTAGATGTGCAAATCATTTTAAAAGGGAATTTTCTTGAACGATATAAAGGGGATACTTTAAGATACCGGTGCATTTAAAATTGTACATATACAAATTAAAATTCATTGAGAAATTTAAATTTGAAAACAAAAGGGGCCGGGGGATCATCTACATTTACAATACTTTTTTAATTTTTGAGGGGTTTATAATAAATTCCCCAAAAGATCCCCAAAGGGAATAACCATTTTTTAAATTTTACTTTATATTTATCCATTAAATAGAAAAAAAGGGGAAACCCGAAAAATGACAAAGGGATCTTCTATATTTACATTCCCTTATGCATTTCTTTTGAAAAAAAATAAATTTGGGTTCAGTGAATGAGCGGGGGAACCCTACTTTTACGTTTTTTTTTCTTATTAGGGAAACAAAATTTTTTGGGTATCTTTAACAGCCGGGGTTTCATTATTGGACTTTACTATAATATTCATTAAACAGAAAAAAAGGGGAAAACCAAACACTTTAGATAAACAAAGGTTTTCATCTTACATGAAAATTTAATTTTTTCTTATTACGGAACAATATATGGGTATCATTTAAGCACCGGGGGTCATCTATATTTAAACACAAAATTTAGTAATAATTTGAAAAAAGAAATAGGATAAAAAACGTAATATGAAAAAGTGGTATCTAGAATTTAAAAAGTAACTTATATTTTTCTTTGAAAATATCAGATGTAACGTAATTTTGACCAGGAAAAAATCTTAAAATGTACTTTTATACCTACTTTTAAAATTTTAAAAGATTTTAAGGGGGTTTTAAACGTTAAAAAAATGACCAGTGGGTTTTCTAAATTACTTTTATACTATATTTTAATTAACAATAAAAGGGATCAGTAAGATCCCGGGGGGGTTATCTAATTTTAAAATGCTTTTATTTTTTATTGAAAGAAAAAATTTTAAGGGGATCACGTAAGAGCCCGGGGGACGTCGAAAATTTTGCATTTAAAGTATAAAATTCTTTAACAGATTTTCGGGATCAGAAAGATACCGGGGGAATTTTTCTCATTTTTATCTACTTTTTCAAATTTAGGGAAAGTTTTTTAGGGAGATCACGAAAAAGAATGAAAAGGGGGGATAACTAAAATTAACTTATAATTAAAATTCCATTGAACAAAAAAAAAGGGGTGGTCAGGGAAAATGACGGGGGATCATCTTACATGTACATTTTTTTGGCTTTTATAAAAACACATATTGGTTATAAATGAAGCTGCCCAAAGGCCAGATCAAAAGGGCCCATAAAAACTCTTTCTTATTAGGGAAGGGGTTTAAAAAGGGGATAAGGGTAAGAAAAGGGGGACATCAAATTTTACATATCATAGTTTCTTTTTGATAGAAAAAAGGGGGATCTTGAAAATTTGAAAAAGGGAATTTTCATTAATATGAATTAACTGTAAGAATCAATTAAAAAGAATAAAAGGGGGTCACTTAAAATGCCAAAGGGGTCAAATTCCCAATTTATACCTTTCAAATTAAATTGGAACGGTTTTATAAAAATCCCCAAAAGATGTAAACGGGTTAAAATATTTAAAATTTCCCTTAAATTTATATCCCTTTGAACAAAAATTTAAAGGGGTTTCAGTTAAAAACCCAGGGGAAATTTTA